GTAAAGTAAAAATATCAGAAAAATCTACTTGAGTACAGTAACAAAGTATTTGTACTTCGTTACCGTACTTCCCATCTCTGGCTGCATGTTATTTAACTTATTTATCTAAGTGACTAAGACAGAAACTGTGGGAAAATCTGCATGAATGTAACAACTTATGTTGGGAACAGTGATGGAGTCTTACAGCTGATGGGAGGAAGGTTCTGTGGTAACGCTCCCTGGTGCATTTAGGGTACAGCAGTCTGCGCCTATTTTAAAATTTGTACTTGAAATCTTTTTTTATATGTTGCAGCTTTTCTCATTGTGAATTTTTGACCATTTGTCTTTGCAAAACTGCTAGAGCTTGGTCAGATTGGATGGATAGAGTTAGTGAACAACGTTTTTTGAGTCTTGACACTGATTCTTAATTGGATAAAGGAATGGACTTTGACTGGGCCATACGGACATATGAACATGCTCTGATCTAAACCGTAATTATAGAGGCTCTGACTACAAGTTTGGTATTTTAAAAGATAAACCTTTGCCATCATTTTAAGTCTTCTTTCCTTCTGTAAAGTCAAAACAGTTGGATTTGAGATGAGATTACATTCTGCTCAGATGGACCATGTAATTAGGTGAGTCCAATAACTAAAGGGCCAGAAAAATACACCAAATCACAACTGACATCTAAATAAAGCAGTGCATCTGATAAAAGTGATTTCATGATTTATTAATTAAAATAGTGTTTTATTTAGCACTATTTTAGTAAAGGGGGTTGATTTCAAACTCTCATTAATTTTTATACTTTTATTCCAAGACCATGTATGTTTTCCATCCTGCTTTACATTTATGCAACACATTATAATGTCCTATCACATGAAGCCCTAATAAAATACACCGAAGCTTGTGATGTGCCAAAACTTGAGAGGAGATTTGGGGTGTGAATGTTTTTGCAAGCTGCTGTATATGATGAGGATAGTTGGATTGGAGAGATGAGCCTCTGTATGAAAACTTGCTGTTGATTTCCCTTTATTCTGGTCTGACCACAGTTAATGCCCCACTGTGCTCAATGATGAAAGCCACTCCTGACAATGCAGCCATCAGCCATCTACCATTGCTCCTGCTGTGCTGTGTGTTTTTAATTACCCTGCTGATTGGATTAGGCCCTTTCCTACGCTGACATGTCCCTCTGCCTAATAGGATGTTATCGACGAAAACCAGCACTTCCCTGCGAAGTCTGATTTTTGTCAGAGTCGCTTTTTCCGTTGTCTGGAATTAAGTAGATGAAGTTCTCCTGTGATGGATTTTAGTTACAGCCTGTCGCAGCAGGTCCAGGAGAAGGAAAACTAGACCCTAATCCAATAAAATGTGTGAAAGCGTAAATTCAACAAAGAAGGATTTTTGTTGCCGAAAACTAGCAACAAATTCTAGCGAGGATAAATAAAGGAAATGCCAACTACCTTTTTCTAAAGCTCCCCTAAAAGACATAGAGCTTCTTTGTAGATTGTGACTGACTCCATGTGATGGACTTTAGGCAATGCCGTTCGGCCTGCATATCCATGTAGTCTGAGGCTCAGGTAATGCTTATATGCCTCACAGTGTTGACTGATAAAATCAGATCTCATGACGTGAGCATATTCTATAATCCACCTAAAGCGGAGGTCATTCCATCCTTTCATTGAAGCAACTGTCCACATGTTTTCCATAGTACATAGGTCCTCAGCACTTGATTTTTCATTTTTTTTATATGAACATGCTTATAGTGTGTCTGTCAACCAGGTTAAAATTCAGATTTTAAAATATTTTTTGTAATCAAACAATAAAACTGGATATTTGGCAGAAAATCGGTAATTTAATAATCACATAATGTTTGCATCAGCTAGGTGGGATTTGGGAAGAATTTAGTAGTTTAAGCTTTTACTGCACATTCATTCAGAGATACATACTGTGTTATCAATAAAGGTAAAGTTATCTTGGAAAAAAACTAAAGAAGCCCAAACTTGCTGACCATTTTCTTTAACAATTTTACATCTAAAATAATGTTAAATAGATCTAGATTCTCTATACTGTTTATAATGTTGGTCATAATGTGGCTAAAACACCACATTATTCCTCTTTTATCAAATTCAGATTATTTTAAGCACATCACCAAACTCAATCTTTAATCATGTAATTGAATAATAATAACAATTTAGCTTTACTGATCTCACACTGGAGAAATTAACTTCTGCATTTGACCCATCCTCTTGGGGAGCAGCAGGCTGCCACTATGTGGCACCCGGGGAGCAGCCTGGGGTTAAGGGCCCTACTCAGGGACCAAGAGTGGCAGTTGGTGGGAGTTGAACTTAGAACCTCCCGGACCCAAGCACAATGCTCTAACCACTAGGCCTCCACTCCCCTTTAAAAAAAACACACACACAGAGAAAGACCCCAGGCCAGGAATCAAACCCAGATCCTTCTTGCTGCAAAGCAGCAGTGTTACCAACTGCACCAGTGTGCAGACATGTTGCTGCAATGTTGTGGCTGCTTACCTGTAAAACAAATCCAGAGAAAATTACATTTGTAACTGGATATTTTCTTCATCTTTGTTATGTCTCACACCTACATGAGGTATTCCACATGGTACCTAATGTTATTGTAATTACACTGTCACAAATACAGAGCAACGAAATTGACTCTCTGCATTGAACCGATCCCCTTGGGAGCAGTGTGGGGTTAATGGTCTTGCTCAGGGACCCAGACTCCCACTGACTGACAATGGGTCAGTCAGTGGGAGTGGGGCTTGAGCTCAGA